CCCAGAGGCTGCGGGGCCGGCGCAGGCTGGAGCGGGAGGCCAGGTGGGAAGAGGCCGGAGGGAGGCGGACATGTGGCGTCAGGGGCGACCTGGGAGAAGAGAAGGGTGCATTTTCACCCCCTGACACTCGGTTCGTTGGGCCCTCAAGGCCTCCGCCGGGCTCGTTACCCGGCGGCGGAAGCCTCCAGACCTTCGGAAGCGGGGACCTGGCGCCTGCTAATCCACTCGGAAGTCCCCGAGAGGGCCTGGGAAGGATCCCCCGCCCCGCAAACCCACAAGCTGTGTGAGCTCGGTGGTCTGACCCCAGCCTTTCCCATCCACCTTCCTCTTAGCCGCCGCCTCTCCGCCCGCTGCCCTCGCCCCCTCCAAGTTCAGCTTGTGGGTGGAACCTGTTGCTTCAGCTCACGTTTCCTTCCCGTTCCTGACCGCTAGCTGAGGATGGCCTCGGCGAGGTGTGTGTCTGAGGACTGGAAGGATGAGGGTGAAAAGTGCGCGGGGATGGGGCAGGCTTGGCACGAGTGTTCTCAAGTCTTGGGGTCTCCAAAGATCCCCTCACACTGCTATCAAGGAAATCCTGAAGAAGGTGAGGAGGTGATAGTCCCCCTGGCACACCTAAAGCCTTTGCTTCCTTGAATTTTTCAGGAAACACATCTGGTTCCCTGAGTTCAGCAGTTCTTTCAGTAGGAAAAGGTTTGATGAAGTGAAAGACACCAGCACTTGCAAAATGTACGTGGGTCACAGTACCTTTAAGGATTAATGTTTTTGTGAACGAATTCCTACTTGTAAAAGCTGGGAAATCAGGAACTGCCCTCCTTTCTGTGGTGATACTGTTAAAAGAACTCTTAGCTCTACAAGGAATTAAGGAAAACCAAGTTCCCTGAACTTCCAGATTCAGGTCTGTTACTAATTATTCTGGTGAAAATCTAGCCCTCACCAGGCTCTTGCCCGGGATTGGCACAGTCCAGATGGAGGAACGGGAATACTTGGGATTCTTCAGTAGGGAGTGGCTGCCACCCTATTTTTCTCCAGTCTACTGGGGATTTGGATGCTGAGATCCTTCCATTTAGTGATTTCTGTGAGGCCTGCTTCCTTCTTTCTTAGGTGGGTCTGAGGCCGGAAATTTAGGATAACCTTTTAACTTGTCCTTATAAATAACAGGAAAAGGGCCTTTTGATCTGGCCCGCTTGTCTGTCAAAAGGACTGATTACGACTTAAAATATATATTTGACACTAACGTCTGTAAACAGCCTGCCTTGTACTCCAAATAGTTTCGTTTTGAAACTGCTCTGGGGCCCTGGCTGCCACCCTGGTGTGTAAAGGTGGGCCTGTGGAGCAGTCGGGGTGTGGGTGGGAGACCTCATTGTGTGCTGGGAACCAGATGGCTGCTTTTTCAAGTTACCATGTGACCTGGCAAGGCTTAGGTCGGTAAAAGCATCCTGGTCTATGGCATGTTACCTGTAGACAAATAAATATGGATCAACTGAAATGACAAGGGAGACTTGTAGTGTCAGCTCAATTTTGAAATATTAGGGGCTCCCCAGCCCCCCACCCACACTTTCCCTCAGGCCTACGCTTATCCCCTGCTGTCCAGCTGGTCTGTGTTCAGGAAATGCAAAGTATGGCCTAAGAAAAACATTTGGCAAGGTAAGTTCCTTGCCAAACATGCACGGCATTTCAAAGACAATATAAACATCTTTGAGTTATCTGTACTTCTGTATTATTTTCTGTCCAGATATTCTGGATCACATGGGAAAGCACCCAGCTTCCTTCTTCTCTTCTTTCTCTTCATGCAAGGTGCTTGGCTAGCCCAGTTTCCATCCTGTTGCCAGGCTTCCATCTTTTGCCAAGAACACGCCTACTTTGGAACAGGAGTCCCTGCCAATTCCTAGGCCGGCAACCGTCTGCAGCTACATCCAGCAGGATGAAGAGATGATTTACGAAGGAATTGAAAGGCCCTGTCTTCCTGTTCACAGAAGTTTCCTTCAGTTAGAGTTTAGAGTTAACAGACTTAGGTTCTTAGTAAATTAGACATCAGAGGTGTGGGACAAGTCAGAATCTTCCCAAAGCTCTCCCATTCTAGCACTTTCCCTCATCAGTCACCAAGTATACAGTCACTTCTACTTAAACACAGTCCCTCCTGAAGTCCACTACTTCACCCTAGTCTAGACTGCTGTCCTCTAAATTTACTGCCTGTCCACTCTCCTCATGCAGCCATACTGGCCTTCCTTACACTGCAAATATGAGCAAGTCTCTCTCTCCCTTGATTGGTTAAAACCCCACAGAGCTCCTCATTGCCCTGAAAGACCTGCTTCCTACCACACCTTTGGCAAAATTTTACTCATCCTTTAGATCTCAGCTTAAATTTCACTTCCTCCTGAAAGGCTTGGACAATTGTCTGTCCCACCTCCTCCTCAGAGGACCTCCCCATGAGCCCATGACACTGCAGTTATTATACAGACTTTATTAAGGCTGATGTTTAATCATTTATCTTCTGTGCTAGACTCACAGTAGGAAGTACATTTTATATTAAGACCCAGGCCTCATATATACACGGAGCTGAAAAAGGCTATAAAACAATTTATTTAAAATCAGGTCGCACCTTACCATGTTAACTTTATAACCCTTAAATGAGTCAGGGCTTCTAGTGTAAAAAATAAAACAAAAACAACTTTAAATTCCCTGAAGGGTAAGGCTATGAATGCAATAGGAGGTTAATAAACGTGTGTTGCTGGAATTATTAATAATTCTATCTAACTCAGCTCTCAAAAAGCCTGAGAAGAAACTATTTAAGTCCCCATTTGCAAGTGAGTTGGCCTTGGACAGTAAGATTAAATAACTTGCTGATATTATGTCACCCTAGGGCCCCACGCACTCATAGGTGGGGCTTTGAAAGGTGATTGGATTATGGAGGTTTATCGTTGACTTATTAGGTGAGGTCAGAAGAGGTGAGTTACTGAGCACATGGTCTGAAAGGGTTTATCTCCCTTCCCAGCTCCTCCCTTCGCCCTCAGCTACCTATCCACCTTGCCCTGAGCAACTCTCCTCTGCCACATCCCTCCACCATGCCTTCCTGCCAGCAGACTACGGACTAAGACAGGTGAGTCAAAGTAAACCTCTCCTCCTTTAAGTTCTAGATGTTGGGTATTTTGTCCCAGTGAGGAGGAAAGTGACTAAGACACTTGGCCATTGTCAAAAATCATTGGTAGGTAGATGAAGAGCTAGGGTGTGTACCTGGTTTGTTTGAGTTCAGAATTCTTGTTCTTAGTCATTCAGCTAAAAGCTTGATATCCCTTAATTCTCTAGCATGTGGATGAGTTTACCAGTCAAAAATGTTAGAAAGGGTCTCCTTGCAGTAACCCCAAACTAGGTCTCAGTCCCCTGCTTAGCAGAAGCTTCTTGAGCGTATTTATGTCTATATGGAGAGGAAGGCAGCTGGCAAGAACAGCTGCTCTCTGCTCACGTGTTTGACCTCCTCAAATGCCACCAAATTCAGCAATACTCAGCACAGTGGGAGGTTTAATGGTGTAAAGAAAGAGTATAGACTCTTCAGAATGAATTCTACATTAAGAACTACATGAGTTCAGTTCTCCCTCAAATCTTTTACGGAGGCCACCATGAGGTTGGGGCATTCATTTTTTACTCTGGATGGAAGACTGGATTCATTTGCAAAGGCTAAGGATAAGAAGATGTGTTCCTCAGACCAGTGCTATTTATAGCATTTTAATCTGTGCAGGAAACATTTGAGAAAGGATGTGATAAAAATGTATGAGTCATAAGGAGTATGAATAGGTAGGGAAAGATTTATTCGCAAAATTCCCAAACTAAATTTGAAATTATTAGCCCTGACACTGAACCTTCTTTACACTGGGACATTTATAGTAATAAAGAAATGGCTGGCAAAGGGTTTGTACTTCATCTTTATTACATAAATTACATGCAAGTCACATGCTGTACACAGATGCTCTGGCATTTTATCACCTGCATATAACTATGTGGGAATATTTAACAGCATTGTGGGGTGGAGTGTCCTGGATATGGAACATCTGGGCCTTGTTCTCAGCCCTGTCTCTAACCAACTTTATGACCAGTTTTTTCATGAAAGGGCTGGACTGCATGATCGTGGTGTTTTGGCAAATATTAAGAATTAACTGAATGCTTGTGTATGTGGATGAATAAAAGACTTCATCCAGCCTAAAGAACCTATAGATTTCATCGTAGAAGCCATGAGAAATATAGTATGAACATGTCTCCGAATCCTTTCTTCACCATCATTTTTTGAAAGAAACAAAATTGATCCTTCTATTTATTCAAAATCAGCATCTACTTCTATTAGGTAGGTGGGCTATTTTTGAGTGAGTGGTATTTCTCCTTTATTTCTCAGAGATACTAGATTGATGTTAACTTACTAGTGTCTATGTGTAGATATTTTGGAGATGGACCCTATGTATACCTAAAGTGATTTCTTTTCATTGACAAAGCTATACTGAAAAAAATTCTTTTTAAAACACATGTTCAGCCAGGGATTTATCTCAGTGGCACCTTGCCTGAGTTGCATGGGCAAGGTCCTGAGTGATCCCCGGTACTGGAAAAAAAAAAAAAACCACATATTCATCTTAAAGGTTTTTATTCTCTAGCAAACCATGAGATTGTATTTATTTCTTACATTTTTCTGAATAAAAATGAAATGGTGGAACCTAGGCCCCGCGGCACTGAAAAGATAGTTCCTGTGTCCTCTTTTCCAAACCTGAAACAGAACACGTGGCTTGATAACACAACTAAGCTTACAGAAATTTGGTGAATTTAAGTTTGCAATGAAGACCACCCTGAACAATTTGTAGGCATTGATAAATGAAGCAACCCTAAGTGCAACGCGGGGACAGTCTCTTTATCAGAGAAAAGTCACATCAGGAGTGTCAGTCAGGTCCTCAGCATATGGCCACACAGACTGTGCCCTGTACAGTGCCAGGACTGCAAACTGCATAGTGGGTTCCTGCCAGAAGGAACCTTTTGGCATCATTCACATAGATGGCAGTGTGAATGGTGCCCTTTGGAATTGTGCAGTGTACAATAAGAACAACAGTACACAGCAACTCTCCTAGGGCTCCACTGAGGAAATTTGCTCTTTTTTGACAAGCTTGGAAGAAGGAGCCTGCTTGCTTTCTTTCTTTTTTTTTTTTTTTAACCAGGGATTGAACTCAAGACCTTGTGCTTGTGAGGCAGGTGGTGGCACCACTGAGCTAAATCCCCAGCCCAACGCTGCTCTTTTCTAATAAAGTCATACCTCAGATTGGATGGCAATGACAAAAATTCAGCTGTCTAAACTCTTTTAGTCTTTCTTTTTCCAGAAGTTTTCTGCCATCATCTTCTAGATTCTTAAAGTTTCTAGCAATTCTAAATTCAGTTTAGAAGGAATCCTGAATTAATTTTTTGAGTTTCATCAATGTGTATAGATTACATGAAAGGGCATGTAGGATAGATTACATGAAAGGGCATGTAGGAAAAGCTGGGAAGTTTGTAGGTGCACTTGCTGCAAGAGTTCAGAGAAGTATCATAAGTGATAGGCTTAGAGTCCCCTGTGCATATGACCTGAAAGCGAGAGGAGCTGTCTCAGGAATTCCATGCCTTTTACTTTGTGTCACACTTGTCAAGGAAGAATTGACTAAATGCTGTCGGAAGTAAAAACTCTGTTCTGGTCTCTTCCTGGCATAACTTTGGAAGTATTATAAGATAGGGAGGCAGCAGCTGATACTGTCAGTGCAATGCAAGCAGCATAGTAGGACAGGAGAGGACCCTTCCAGTAGACCTAGCTGTGTCTGACCAGCTCTGCATTTATGGGCAAGCCAGTCCCTTCAGCTCTCAGAGCCACTGGCCTCAATATGAGAGGTGTGTGAAACTGCATGAGCTTAGAAATTTCTCAGGTTTCATGGGCTGTAACCAAGATGGTGTAAATGCTCAGGCAAATGAGTGAAGTGGGCACTGGGGCAACAGGGTGTACCAGGGCTCAGTCGCTGAGGCAGTGAACAGCATAGTGCAAAGACATCTAAATCAGGGCTGGGGATTTAGCTCAGTGGTTCAGTGGCCTGCTTCGCAAGCGCAAGGACCTGAGTTCGATCCCTGGTACCAAAAAAAAAAAAAAAAAAAAAATCTAAATCA